CACCGAAGAGGCGGACGCTCAGGTGACGTTGAAGGAAGTTTTCAAACCGTTGACAGATCCGCTCGCAGCGTTGCAGAAAACTGTCTCGTCATCAACACCCGCACTTGTTGCTGCTCCTCAGGAAAAGAAAACCAAGATCGAAGCTTCAAAATCGGAAACGAAAGATAAAACAATGTTTGTTGATAGTTTATTTGCTTCGTTCGGATCACCGAAAAATATGAACAATGATAATGACGATAACGACTCAAAGGAGGAGGAGGATGATGATGATGATGTGATGAATCGTTCCAAGATGCAACGGATAAGTTTCGATTCGGACGGACGACTAATCTTGGACGGTGGTGATGAGGTGTTCGAACCGACGGCCGGGTTCTTGGAGCTCCTTTTTAAGAAACATCCGCGTAATTACACAGCAGACGATCGCGCTAAATTCCAACGAGTAGTTACGCTCACCAATGCGCATCGGAGGGATCATCATCCACACGGTAGACCCAACTCGAACCGCAGTCAAAAATACCGCGATCTCATCAAACCTTTGTTCGCTACATCGACTCCGAGATCAACGAGGAAGTCATCGTGTAAAAATAGAAGAAAGGCTCCGGTATCAAAATTCACCGTGCAAAACGGGAACTCGTCTATTGGGACGATCCGAACAAATTGGTCCAACGTCTCGTTTTACTTGTAGCTTCGAAACAAGCTGGTCACACCGATCACGATCGTGAAATTCTGAGTATCGCCGAAGAGCTTCGCGAAGCGGATTACATCCACTAAATATAAGTTCCACACAAAAAATTAGTCACACCGACCGGTTTGGAAGATCAAAAAGGACTTACGTTCGCAACACGAAGCAAGGTCTCAAAGGTGACGGTTTCTTACTGGATCCCGACGGGAATTATCTCGTATCCAACAAACGGATTCGTCAAGTGCAAGATCCCGAAAGCGATGAGGATGCGGTGAACAAACAATGGTCCGTGTTGGGTTTTCAGACCCAAAGGATATTTTTATTTGTCATTTTTAGTGGATATATTTTCAGTTCATTCTTCCCGCTATTTCTACCGCGCTGCCCACCTTCTCCTCTCTCCCCGCGTTGTCACCCGCGCCGCCTTAGCTTTTCGCAGTGCGCGCGCCGACATCGGCGCAGCTTTTCTGCGCAACCATGCCTCGCGGTGGCCGGACCGCAGCCCGTGGACGAGTGGGCCAGCACTCAGCTTCCAGCCGGCGCAGCAGATCTCGTCTCTCCCGCGGTACGCTCGACGTCACTTCTCATTGTAGGTATCTTTTCGCCACGACGTTTTTCCGTGGTATGATTTCCATTTTCCTCAGGAAGCACATACCCTGAGAAGACCCTAGGGACGCATATTCCCCTATTTGCCCCAGGACGGTTTTCCCTGGGAAGCTCATTTCCCCAGGACGGTTTTCCCTGGGAAGTTTATTTTCCTCTTTGCCCTTTAGTTATTATTATTCGTTGTTTGCTCTCCTTTCTATATCATCGTCTCAGTATTTTCCGTTCTTCTTCTCGTGGTGGGATGCCTAGGTACGCGGTACGCCTAGTTGCCTTGGGTTCTGTCCCCGAGATGATCCTCCTTCTTTCTTTTTAGTTATTTTTTCTCGTTTTCTCCTTCTCTTTTTCACGGTCCTCCGAACCCTCTTTTTCACTCCGTCTACGGACGCGACAGTCCGAACGGAAGTGGAAGGAAGCTATGAAATTAGGTCAACACTGTCTGGAGCGTATCCACCAACTTCAACAATCTTACACTCGTCTGGTTAAAATAGTAGCATCGAAACAGTATTTGAATCGAGAGAGCGGACGACGACGACGTCGACGGTAATTATCATGTCGGCAGAAATACGTGGGATCGTCGAGGAGCTACATAAACCTGCACGACGAAACTATCCGCGTCGTAAAGTACGGATTCTCGGATTGTTAGATTTATGGCAAGCCGATCTTGTCGAGATGCAACCGTACGCCTCGGTCAACAAAGGATACAGATATCTCCTCACCGTCATCGACGCGTGCTCGAAAAAGGCGTGGGCCGAACCGCTCAGATCGAAAACGGCCGCGAATGTTACTTATGCTCTGCAACGCGTTCTCAAAGCAGCCGGAAAGTCACCGAAACATTTACAAGTCGACATGGGCTCGGAATTCTACAACTCCAAATGTCAAGCATTGATGAAGCGTCACAAGATCAATATGTACAGCTCGTACTCGACAACCAAAGCCTCTATTGTCGAGCGATTCAACCGAACGCTCAAAACGAAGATGTGGAAAGAGTTCAGTGCGCAAGGATCGTACAAGTGGGTAGATCTATTACCGAAACTCATCCGTGAATATAACGGGAGCGTTCATCGCACCATCGGGATGAAACCAATCGATGTCACCGAAAAGGGTGTACCGATGATCCTGCAAAAGCTTCGTGGACCGCCGCTGAGTAAAATTGAAAAGAGACGTCTGGCCAGACGAAAACTGAATGTCGGTGATCACGTCCGGATCTCGAGACTCAAAGCCATGTTCGAGAAAGGATACACACCGAATTGGAGCACGGAAATTTTCAAGATTGTCAGCGTCAATCCGACCGTTCCGATCACGTACGATCTGAAAGACGCGCACGATACGATCATCAAAGGAAAATTCTACCGCGAAGAACTCCAACCCACCAACTATAAAGATACGTTCCTGGTGGAGAAAATTCTGCGTCACAAGAAAAACCAGGTCTTTGTCAAATGGTTGGGTCTGGACGCGAGTCACAACAGTTGGATCGATAGTAAGGATTTCGTATAAATAATATGCAACGCGTACGTTTTCTAAACGTGTTTGCGTTTTCTAAACACGTTTGCGTTTTCGAAACGTGTTTGCGTTTTTTAAACGTGTTTTCGTTTTCGAAACGCGTTTGTGTTTTCTAAACGCGCACGTTTCTCGGACGTTAACTCTTTTAAACTGTAACTGTAACTGTAAATATCCAACAAAAAAAAATAATACATTTTTTTTTTGATTCATCAAACTGAACATTGTAATATCCAATCCCACTCGCTCATCCCAAAACATAAGGTTCCCGATACGCATCTCCAAGCGCACACTACTGAAAATTTAAATTCCCGAATCAGACCCTATTCACCAGTCTCCGATACCAGCCCCATACTGTAAGATACGGTCTTTCGAAGCCGAAAATTTTACAAGTCCGAAATCTCGAAAACGAAAAGTCGTAACGAAATTCGGTCCGTACAGTTTTCCGATCCTCGATTATGGAAAAGAATCGCATTGGTCCGCAACGGATCGGAGGATGGTGATTTTCCGAAAATTTTCCAATTTTCCCGAATCAGACCCCAATCTACAGTATCCGATACCGACCCATACTGCAAGATACGGTCACTCGAAACGGAAAAATTTTACAAGTCCCAAAATCCGAATTTTTTGCACAATCTGGCAACATTGTTTTGAAAAATCCACTAATTTCTCGCACCATCTGGCAACACTGTAAAATGCAATGTTGCAAAATTTCACCAATAATTAAATAATTTATTTACATGCCCCGTTCGGCAACGTTGTAACCGCCATCTTGAAAAATACACCATTGCATAACCCGCAGATTGAAGGGGCTACATTACGCGATTGCATAACCTGATTATTGAAGGGGCAACATGCAATACTTTCTTTTTTACAGCGTTGCCATATTGAATAATAATCCCTATACAACACTGTAATTTAATTCGTATTTTTCTGCACCATCGTGCAACGCTGTTGGATTTTTATTAGGGGCAAGTCGCCATTTTCATACTACTATTTAACTAGAATCAGCGCAACAGCCTTTCAACTTGCCTTATTTGCTCTCATGTTTACTTTTAAAGGTGATATTCACAAAATTTCAAATCAGTAGATTCCTTAGCTTTCTAATGGAAAGATAAAACACGGTAAAGCCATTTTGCCTCTAAACGTATGTCTGGATGTTTCTTATTTTCAATTTTATTCAAGGGTACCTATTCCTGCCAAATTTCATACATCTGGCTGCTACAGGGCAACATAAGTCTGAAATACCTCAGAAAATTACAGATTGTCTGCTCATTCTCAAGATGGCGGCCATTAAACGGGGTAAAAATAACTGCATTTAAATCTCAGGATTTTTGGGTTCCTTAGATATTGACACGTGCCCATTCCATGCAGAGAGTTGCAAAACAGCCACGAAAATCCGACAAACCTCGGAGGAACAGGGCAATCGGCTTTTTTCCAAGATGGCGGTCAAGTTCGGCGGTAAAATGGCTGACCAAACTCGGGCCTCAATGAATTTCTATTTTTAACACACTCATGGATATTCCTGCCAAAATTCACGCGTCCAGCTGCAAAACAGCCGCGCAAATCTGAGAAACCGCGGAGGGCTCGGACAGGACTGGGCGGTTAGTTTCCGAAATGGCGGTCATTATCCAGAATAAAGATGGCCAGCTGAACCATTGGGTCTCGATACATTTTTTTTTCAATATGTTTATGCATATTCCTGCCAAATTTCATTTATCTCATTACAACCCAGCCTCGAAAATCTGATAAACCGCTAATTTTCAAAATGGCGGCCAATAGCAAGGGTAAAATGGCCGACTGGACTTAAATGTCAATTTTTCCAAATTCTAGACACACTCAAGTATATTCCTGCCAAATTTCATGTTCAAGGGTACCTAAGTTAGAACGCCTGGAAAATGAGATAATAATGGAAATCAGCTTATGGCGGCCATCTTTGAAAATGGCGGCCAAAATACGGGGAACCATGGGGGATCCAGCTTGGGTCCCGACTGATTTTCATTCTAGGTACCTTAAACTACATTTTCACCAAGTTTCATGCTGGTATCCTAATTTGAAATATTTTGGTGATATTTGACCCTAAGCGACCCCATTATGAATACTCATATTTCCGTAGGATTTCCTGAAGAATGATGTTGTCGTTCAGTCCGCATGGATTGGAGCGCGCAAAGCACGCGCGAGTCACTAGTCATCAATAAATATGCAGAAATAGTTTTACCCTTAGGAGGAGGACATCCCGGACCCGGGTCCTGGTTTTCTTCCCGGCATTCTTGACGCTCCAGCCGAAAATCTCTGAGTAAGGATCCGTCTGCACACCGTGGTCCCTCTTGAGAGCTCTCTCGCAACCAGGCTTGTAGCCACAGCACTCCGCACGAACATCGCAAAGGGTTCCCTGTAATGAGATTTACAACATCAACGACAAAATTAAGTATCTATCTATCTATATATTTAATATCCTAAGGCCTTTTATGGCCTCCTACAGTTTGTGCTAATTCGATCTGGGAAACTACTGGACCGATTTTCCTCGGATTTGTTTTAAATGAAAGCTCTTAGGCTGTAGACGTGCCAATATCCCTTGGTTTTTCGATTTGCGCGACCGACGTTGCAAAATTTACCTCGATTTGATAACGACATATTTGCATTTTTGACTTTGGACAGTTTGTGCTAATTCGATCTCGGAAACTACTGGACCGATTTTCCTCAAATTTGTTTTAAATGAAAGCTCTTAGGCTGTAGATGTGCCAACACCCCTTGGTTGAACGACGTTGCAAAACTTACCCCGATTTGATTACGAAATATTTGCGTCTTTGCCGCTGGATAAGTCATATGGTTGAGGGACCTCCCACCCTCTGATTTTGCGTTTCCCTCTCCACGTAAACCCATCCCTACCTGCTCACTACACGTGTCACCCTTCTACTCTGGCATGGGTCCTATGGCAGTTGGCAGTATCACTCCCTTCCGCATGCCGCCTGACTCGGAACACCTGCTACGCAATTCCTCCGTCGCATTGCTCATAATGAGTCTTTGCTTTGTCCAGATTTCTTATTAACGCGTCTAGAGTTTTGCTTTCTTGATTTTGTCTTCAGTTTTTTTTTTACATGAAAATTAGATAATTTTGATGTGTATTTTTCAGAAGATAATTTTGCTTTTTACGGCAGCACAGGTTTTATTCATAATTAACTTTTTTACAGCAGCTCATGTGTTCTTCCAAGAGAATCGGTAACAATGTTCACCCTTTCGCATCGTTAACTTTTCACAAAGTGTTTTTTATTTTTCAAGGATGTTTCTTTTTCTAGAAGTACCTAGGTAGTTATCACTATTAGTTTCTTATTCTTTGTTTTTGAATTTATCATTTTGCCTCCAGGAAGTCCTCTAATTACTCGTACTAGCAAAATTTGGCTCGCGAGGCGAGCCAATATTCACTCGCGGAACAAGTGACTGGGGGTCCAGGGGGCGAAGCCACCGGCTAGCGGCGCAAGCGAGCGTAGCGAGCTGCAGCAGCTAGTTCCTTATAAAACTTCGAAGGATTCCACTTCATTCCACCATTTATTCGAATCCGGAAGGGTTGCCAGATTGTGCGATAAAAGTTAATCTATAGTATAAGCTCAGAGACCTCCTAATTTTGCGTAACTGGTAACGCTTAGTTCCAGCGTTCTACCGGGCCGGTTTCCATGGTTTTTGCGGCTATCGACGGGCAATTGTCCTTAGATTAGCCCGTTTTATTCAGTTTCTCAAAATATGACCCAGGTTTTTTTATATTACGTGGTAAAGTTGCGAATCATCCCATTTAAACAATGTAAATTTATACTTTTTGTCATAGTTCGTTCGAGCGTTTTACCGGGCCGATTTCCATGATTTTTGCGTAAATCGACAGATGATAGGCCCTAGATGAGCCCGCTCTATTCAGATTTTGGAAATAAGACCCAGGTTTCTTTTAAAATCACGTTATAAAAGTGAGCGAATTTACAGAATGCTCCGGGACTGCTGCCGCTATGCGCAGGAGGATGCGCAGTGGTCGAGAAGGTCACGCAGTGGCTGAGTAGCCTGCGCATCAGCTCTCCTCATCAACACAAGATTCGCCCCGTAGACTTTTAGAGGAGCGGTGGCCGAGTCGTCTAAAACGTCGGAAGCGTCCTCACATCTCAAGATGTGGGATCGATTCTTGACTTCTCAATCATTAATATTATGACCCGATTATTGCCATTCGTTGTTTCACCGCAATGTTTCATTAATCAGTCTTTGCAAAACGCGTCCTTTTGAGCATACTTTCGAACATGTGCTGGATATAATTGTTAGCCAACTTGAATGGAGGTTTCGTGGCATCTGCGTTGGCTCCAGGAATTTTTTCTAGTTTCACTTCTACACGCATGAAGATCCTCGAATCTTGAGGCACGGTGATCAGACCGTGGGTATCGACCAATTTTGTCATCGTCTGAAAGCTGGTGGTTTTCTCTAAATTTTACTGACTAAGATCATCTCTTTGCGACAAACTGTTCACGAGAAATGCGAGTTTAAAGTTTCATCTTTAACCCCCCCCCCTTCCCTTCTATCCGTAATTAATTGATTTCAATTCGTCAGTGTTTTGGACTTCGAAAGTGATCCTCTCTATCGACCCTGAAAGTATTTCGAAGATCAGGGCGAAGTTGGAAATGACCGCTTTTTCATAAGGCCTTTTGATGACCGTTTTACCACCCATTCTCCTCCATTTTGTCGGAACACTCCTGCATGAAATGTTCCTGCAATTCTGCAGGAAGTTAATATCGTATAATCATAAACAGATTTTTAATTTCACCTCTGCCCCGCATCACAAAATATCCAGTACCTAAAATTGATGATAATCAGAAATAGCTAGTGATCATCAGTAAAAGGGAGTAACAGTTAGCAAATTGGAGTAGAAATGTAGTGTCATTTAGTCCATTAGATTAACTTTTCACCCACCTCTCCTGACAAAATGGCGCTGTTGGGTGAATGTTTCCATTTAATCCATAGTTTCCTCACTTGTCATCAAAAGCGGAGTAGCAAACTTGGAATCGATTTCTCTCGGTTGCGAGGTTTCAAAATGTTCTTCTCTGAATTAATTCGGTAAATTTTCCCGTTTTATTTTTTCTCTACGATAATTTGAACCGGAGTTATGATTTTTTGAAAATAGGCCAAATCTGACCTTTTACCGATCATAACTTGGTCAAAAGTTAAGATATTAATCTGCGGTTTGCGCCAAAACTTTTGGTTTTTGGTGTTCCTTTTAATGATGTATCACACAGTAGGGGTTATCGATTGAAAAAAAAAGTTGGGGGCCCCCACCCCCCTTGAGGGAGGGGCAAAAATTTTGACCCTCCCCCTAAAATATGGTCCCCTTTGAGATAGAAACATTCCGTAAGTTTCGTTTTTCTATCTTCAACCGTTAAAAAGTTACCAAGGGGGGGGGGGGGGGGGTACGGACTTTTGGGACGCCCTGTATGTGGGTACTTCACGAATTTTGAAAATAGGTCAAATCTGACCTTTGACCTATCATAACTCGGTCAAAAATTAAGATACTAATCTGCGGTTTGCGCCAAAATTCTTAGTTTTTGGTGTTTCTTCTAATGATGTATCACACGGTAGGGGTCAATTGAAAAAAAAAGTTGGGGGCCCCCCACTTTCCTTGAGGAAGGGACAAAAATTTTGACTCCCCCCCCCTCAAAAAAAAAAAATGGTCCCCTTTGAGATAGAAACATTCCGCAAGTTTCATTTTTCTATCTTCAACCGTTCAAAAGTTACCAGGGAGGCTAGGGACTTTTGGGACGCCCTGTATGTGGGTACTTCACGAGTTTTTCATGGGCCTTTAGTTTCCTAAAAGGATAGCTGAAGCTCTTAAAGAAAAAAAAATCCGTCAAATACCAAAGGAGATTTTGCGAAAAGAATCAGCAGTGCCAATTAGGTAGGTTCAATAAGTTCACGTAGTTTTCGATCAAGGAACTTTGAACTTCAGACGTTCGGAAAATTAAAAGGAAGGAAAAGAAAAATTGAAATTATTTCTTGTTTGAAAACTTATAAAATTGAATCATCCAAATCTTTTGAAAAGTAGGCAGCTTTAAGAAAGATAAATCCACACCTTCAATGTCCAGTGAGGCGATGTTGGTACGCAAGTTTCCAAAAGTATTCTCGGGGAATGACGTCAGCTTGTTGTCTCGGATGCTGAAGTATCGCAACTGTGACATGTGGTCAAGTGGGCTCCCCTCGATGCCGCAAATTCGATTGTTGTCAAGCTGTCACAGAAAAACAAAGTTCCGGAGGGCAAGGCAAAGTGCGATTATAAATGTAGGTTGTAGGTAGGTACATTTTCTGCATGAATTGGATACCTACAAGGAATCATTGGAAAACACAGAGATTCTCCAATTTTTAAGAAATAAGTGAAGGGTGAAGGATATAATGAGAAAATTTTTTTTATATAGATACCTATGTAAATCTTACCACCGTACGTTGTCCAGACTGTGGGAGCTTTTACATTTTGTCTCATACCAAAACTGAGGTCTTATTAAACCGAAGGTCGATACTCCAATAATTATTTCAGGCGTCTAAATGTTTGCGAAGGCTCTTGATATAAGGAATACCTTCCAGCTCCTCGATTGTTGAATCGTTATCGAATGACCTTGATCGATATATAGTATTGTTAAGATAGGGATTTATCGATCAGAAGCATTCGATAACGATTCAACAATCGACCCGCAGGAAGACTGAAATTTTCATCGTAAAATGTTTACAACGCTTAATGAGGAGAGTTTCTTGCTCTCCCTGCATTCCTCAACTATAGAAGACAGTACCTAACACATTTCTAGCGCTTTACATATTTTCCATTATTTGGGCATCTATGGTATCCATGAAAGAAGACCTTTGATGCACGAGGGTCGTCCAGAAAGTAAGATTTCCTACTCAATATCTCCTAAACTAAAAGAGAGAAAGAAAACTTGTTGCGAAGCCACTACCCCAATAGCCGAAGTATGATATGAGTACCGATCACCAAAGTGTGACACCACGTACCTCCACTTGCTGAGGACGCTCCCTGAAATTTTGGACCCTCGCAAAGAGGAGGTGGATTTAGAGGAACACCCTTCTATAAAGAGCCCGATGAAGCCTTTTGCTGATTATGTTGATGTAGGTAGGTACGCTAGAGAGCAGCACTCGTTTATACTTCTCAAGCTTGTACGTGTGTGTGTGTGTCTCATCGTCGTTGTAAGCTATGTAATGGCGTCGGATGTTCATAATCTGTAATTTTTACCGGTGTAGTTTGCGAAGTAAGAAAGAAATAAGTCCTAAATCTGTCGTTAAATGCTTCATCTCAACATTTTTAAGAGACTAGGTACCTATGTTGCACGGTAAATTTAAGGTAAGTCTTCGTACCTACGACCTTCGTACTTACACACCTCTCTTCATGTTGCTTGAGTTTTAGCTTCAACCATATTATATTCATGTACTTACTCGTGGATTTTCCTTTTTTTTTTTTTTTTTTTTTTTTTTTTTTTTTTTTTTTGCATTTAGATCAGCATATTGACGGTGTAAGTCCGCAACCTCGTACCTCGGTGTGCGACGTGGCAGACTGTCTGTCATACTCTTTTTTTAGTGAAAAACTACTCAATGGCAAATCTTGAAAACTGCCGTGATTTTTCTTTCCTGGAAAAAAAAAAAAAAAAAAAAATCTGCGAGAACTTCAAGGAGTGATGTCGCTGTTGTAGACAAATCCCGAAATCTACACAAATCAAAATTCGTCCAAAGCCTAATTGACGGTATCTGTTTATTTAGCCACGGCTCATTTAGCCACGTGGCGAACTGCAACAAAAATTGTTGCAAATTGCCACAAACTTAGGGTGCTGCGTGGCTAAATGAAACAAGAAAAATCAGTGCGGCTAAATGTAACAAAAATTGTTGCAGTTAGCCACAGCCTTTGAAATGGCCTACCAAATTCAGCAAAAAAAATTGTTATTTATCCTCCCATTCTTATTTTACTGCAGTATAAGTGATTTTATTGAAGATCTGGAATAGATTAAAAAGTATAAAAAACCATTCGTATGTATTGAAAACATTTTTTTTTTAAAAATAATTTTACCATCTTCCACTAGTGACCAATGCAATACTGATTCTACTTTACGCTGAAATACATGAAAATCTACTAATAGGAAAATATTCGAAGGAATTATTGACTACAGCATCCAGCTCTCCCTCCTTAGATTAGGTAAGGTTAGGTTAGGTAAGGTTAGGTTAGGCTAGGTCAAGTTCGTTTCGATTAGGTCCGGTAACGCTGCAATGGAGATACCTGGTTTTATCCTTCGGCCATGTGGCTATAACTGCAACATAATTTGTTGCACTTTGCCCCGTTTGCCACACTATTTTTCTTGTTTCGTTTAGCCACATAGCACCTAAACTCTGTGGCAAGATGCAACATTTTTTGTTGCATTTTACCACGTGGCTAAATGAGCTGTGGCTAAATGAAACGTATTCCTATTTGACATGTCCTGAAATGAAAATAAAATTCGGTATTTGTCTAGAGCTATAACGAAAGAACGAGCGAAGAAGTTATCACAGCGAGTTTATTCAAGAACAAACAAAGAGTGCCCTAACGGCTTGACCCTGGCGAAGAGACATATTTCCCTGCCATTACATGCTGCCAACCTATGGGAAATACCACCTCTAGAGACATCGCGATTTGGCCAACACCGTTTTGGACGAATTCCGAAACTTTTTCTGAGTTGATTTGTCCAGACGGATCGCGAACTGGCCGCAGGCAAATCGCGATTTATTTATTTATCTAATTACTGTAACTATTTTAATTGGCTAATTTAATTTTACTACTAGTATACTAATTTAATTTCATGAATTTAATTTGACTATGAGAATAAGTCATCAATGAGTTATAAGTAAATTTTTGCGAACTGTCCATCGCGGGAACGTATACCGGTTGTCGGTTTGTCGGTTTGTCCATTTCCTCACGAAATAAAATTTTCGAGTGCAAGGAAATATTTTTAAAGGCAGAGGACATTCCAGAAGAAAAATAAATAAGTATTCGCTCTTCCAGTCTGCAAGCCTCCATACTGGCGGACCGGGGCTTTTTATGTGTAACTGCAAAAGTATGCATGTCTCCAACATCTGCAAATGGAAAGTCGCCGCAATTCAAAGTGCCATGCCTTTCTCCCTTACAAAAATAAAATAACGCGTTATCTGTTTTGTTTTAACTTAATTTAATGTAAAAAGTAATTATTAAAAAATTAATTAAATAGTAACTTATTTTCTTAGTCATACTAGGAGGAACCCAAAAAACCCGGAATTTTGCTGTAGCTTGGCAACGGTGGAAAATATCCGGGCTCTACTGCTAGATGGTGTAACTAGAGGCTATGAAGAGTCACTAGGCCAAATTTCAACGTCGTACCACATTTTCTTTTATTTTGGCGAGACTTGGTTTAAGGGGTTGTCTGGCGAGTTCGTCGTTTTTGAAGATGGGTGGTTTTCACGGGCAATGCACGGCGAACTCTGTCAATTTTTTGGAGTGAATCTTATAGGGGACATATTTCACTCGTGACATACGTTGTCCCTCGTTTTAGAGTGTGATTTATTGTTCGAACTTCGACTGGACGCCCAGCGGCAGTCGCCGGCTAGAACGCTGAATGGGGGATCAATTCGGCAACAACGCGTTTTAGGCCCAAATTTTTCACAGCAATGTTTTGAATATTTCTGTATTACATTCAAGTGATTTCTGCTAGTTAATTAAACCACCCTATTACCACCCTAATTCACAAAAACGCACTTTTTTTTCATTATTTGCATCGGTTTTATCCAATGGCGATGGCGGTTTGGAGCCATATACAGGGGTTTCGGGCGTTACAGCACCATTTTTAAAGCAAAAACCGTGCTCACACTAAAGTTTTTGATGTGCCTTGTCTTCCAGTAGTAGCAATTCAAAAGGTTAACAGAGAAAGTCGTGTTTTCGTCGTGTAAAAGAGAAAAACTTGAGCGCTAAGTGTTGTTACTGAAATTGAGCCATCTTCAAAAACGACGAACTCGCCAGAACTCGACGAACCCCTTAAACCAAGTCATGCCAAAATAAGAGAAAATGCGTTACGACGTTGAAATTTGGCCTAGTGACCCTTTAAAACTCCTAATTACACCTCCTAGCAGTGGAACCCGAATATTTTCCATCGTTGCCAGGTTGCAGCAAAATTCCGTTTTTTCTTGGTTCCTCCTCGTATTAAATTCATGATATTAAATTAGTGAATTAGTTAGGTACAGTAATTATACTTAGTCAATCCTTAAAATTAAGTTCGACAAACGTAAAGGAATCTATTGAAGTAGCAACACGTAGCCCGACGACACAGACTGCCTACCTATCTCATGCCATATTCTAAGGTAAGGAATAATTTTAACTTCTCATTAGCTTTAACTTTTTGTTTCGGGATTTGTCGAAAATAGTATTGGCCAAATCGCGACTCGTCTAGGCAAATTCCGAATTTTATTTTCATCTCGGGATTTGTCAAATAGGTGTTAAACACATTGAGATTTGTTCAGTGCTGTCTGATAAGCCCATCGGAACGGTCGTTCTCCCAGTTCAGTGCTCCAATCTTATCTACTTGATAATCAGTGAATTCACCGCTGCCGTGGCAGCTTCGTTTTCTCATCTAAACAAGGTTTAACCTCAAAATCACAAAGTGGCCTAAAACCTAAATTTTCCATCCTACCCCTGCAATGGCGGGGGTAGAAAACGAAAAGGTTACATCTGAGGATGTTAACAAACCTCCAGATAAAAACACTATAATTAAACAAGTGCTCGAGGCAGATTTAAATCCTATTGTGAATGATACCCGCGTCTCAGAAAATGTTAAGTACTTTATGACTCAATCTAAAAACTTAGTTAAAACTCTTAATGAAGAGAATAAAGTGCTTGAAAATAAACTCTGTGTCGTTTCCACAAAACTTTTAGCTCAAGACGAAGTGATTGCATCGTTACAAGCTCAAATTAACGAAGTTAAAGAACAGCAGAAAGCAGGTAACCCTCAAACTGCAGTTAAAGACACAAACGTTAAATCAGTTAAGGATTTAACCAAATCTAGTAAGTCAAATGGGCAAGCTAAAATTACCCAATTTACTAAGGATGTTTCCAAAAACACTCCAAACAATCAAGTTTCAAGTGCTTCTACTCTGCCAGAATCAAACCCAATCCCAACAGGGAACAAATTCGACGTCCTTTGCAATGAGGAAATGGAAATCGCCACACTGGAGGACG